TCATGCATGATCCACAGGTCACATAATTGATATATGTAAATTAATATCAATGACCAACGAGGTAAGACTTTAATAGAATAATGTCTTAAATTTACACTACTTTTTAAAAAGTTAATTAACTCTATTTATAGTAGTTAAGTAACTCTATTTTAATAATGTCTTAATTTTACACTACTTTTTATGCCGACGTAATTCTTTTGGCCAAAGAATTCTTTTAAAATAAATTATATGTAATATTGATAACTTCTCACCGCCCTTTACATATATAAATATGAAGTCATGCAATTACAAAACCAAAAAACACAAACTAAGAAACCACATTCAAAATTAAGAGAGTCGCTAATAGTATTGTATACATACAATACATCTCTCAAAAAATGAAGGAAGAAACGGTGATAATAGTCGGAGCCGGGCCCTCAGGCCTAGCAATGGCTGCTTGTCTAAGCCGTTTATCGATTCCACACATAGTTTTAGAGAGAGAAGACTGTTTTGCTTCTCTGTGGAAAAAGTATTCCTACGACCGTGTCCACTTTCACCTCAGAAAGCAGTTCTGTGAGCTTCCTCACATGCCTTTTCCTTCCGATTTCCCCCCATACTTGCCCAAAAAGTTATTCACCCAATACTTGGACGACTACGTCTCTTGCTTCAACATAGCTCCGATGTACCGGAGAGACGTTGAGTCCGCGAGATACGACGACGGTTTGGAGAAATGGGTTGTGAAAGCAAGGGTGGTTTATGGTACTACTGATAGTAATATTGATGGTGATCATCATGAGATTGAGGAGTATTCTGGAAGGTTCTTGGTGGTGGCCAGTGGGGAAACCGCCAACCCTTTTGTGCCGGAGATCAAAGGCTTGAGTGGTTTTTGTGGTGATTTTCTTCATTCCACCAAGTTTAAATGTGGGGTGGAGTTTAAGGGGAAGAGAGTTTTGGTTGTTGGGTGTGGGAATTCCGGCATGGAAATTTCTTTGGATTTGGCTAACCACGGCGCTAAAACTTCCATCATTGTTCGAAGCCCGGTATGTGTGAAAATTTCACTACACGGCATGTT